CATTCTACTTTTCATCTTCCTTGACCCACATGCTCAAAAATGTATACCATCCTCTAAATTCAAGCCAGCTCCATCTCCTTTAGTCACCCACTACTGCATCTTTGCCTTCCTTTTCTCTGCTTTGGAAGAAAGTTTCTTACTGGCTTTTTGCTTTCCTGATAGTTTTTCCCCTCCTCTCTCCTCTTGCTAAACACTCAACCTCTGTTTCCAAAAACCTACAGAACCCCACCAGTAATTCCAAAGCATGGCTTGCAGGTAGAACATTGCTGAAGTTGCTCTCCATTATTACTTAATTCTTTGCATTCTCTGATTTGGCCAAGAATTAAAGATTTCAGACTGAGGCCAAAAGAGGAGCAAAATTTATTGTGCTTCTGACAAAAGTCATATGATCAGTACCGTTGTCTGTGGTCCAAGGCTACAAATTATGACTTCATACAAAAAGCATATTTCATTTCGTCTCTTCATCACCAGTCTAATTTTCCCTTTTGCTATTCCGCTGAAAGGCACTTTATTAACGTTAACAGTAATTTCCCTGGTATGTTTACTTAGACTGAGTAGCACCTCATCTTCCTCCCTATCAATTTCCTGGCACTCCCCAGACACCTCACACCCTCATTCTCTCCAGGACACTGCAACCTTTCCCATCACATCTCATGCCTCCACAAAGAATAGCTTCAGGTTGTTCCTCTGACTACTTCAATACCCAATCATCTCTTGAAAGTCTCCTGAACAGTTTTTCTATTTTCCCCACCCCTTATCTCCAGTCCCATGAAAACTAGTTTCCACACCACATGGCCACTTTGATCTCTTCACTTTGTACTGTCTCTTCTTGTGTTGAAGTTGCATTTATTTTTTTCTTTTTAAGTGAAAAAGAAATAAGGTTACAAACAACACTGGATTAATTTTCAAACAAGATTTTTTAACACAACAATATCCCTTTAAGCTACACACATACTTAACTCACTCCAGCAACCTTTACAGTTTAGAAGTAGTTTTGCCATTGTCATTAAGCAGACCCTAATCTACCCCACTCACGTGACGGCTAGCTTTAACTTCAGTCCTAATGTGATAAGCAGCTCGCACACAGCACGTGTCCCCCTCACTCTTCACAGGATGAAGAACAGATGGAAAAAGTCACTGCACAAGCCAAGATGAAGGAAGCACACAAGCACTACCACGGTATACGCGTACTTCCATCAAATCTATTTTGACACCACAAACTTCAGATAGGTTTGGTTATCAAAACACAAACAAATATGAACTGTATTCCATCAGTAACTTATGCATAACAAAATTTCTTCCCAGTCCCTTACAGTTCAAAAGAAGTAGGACACTCATGTTATCTACAACACATCATAAGCAAAATAAGATTCCATAGATTTAACGTAGATGAGAAAGATTGGTTTAATTTAGTGTGCTTAACATGCTGTAATACATCTCACCTGACATAAAATAATGCTTCATACCTTGTGAAATTGTCCTTCTTGCCTTATTGCAATTTGTCTGGCAACTTCTCTTGGCCATTCACCCTCCACTACCTCTATTTGATACACTCAGACCTGCATCTAAAACTGTGGGGTTTTGTTGTTGCTTTTTAAAAAAGTGAAAGGTCTATGAAACAATTTAGAAATACAGCTTCTTACTATCAGAGACAGGGAAGTAAGATATATACTGTGGAGTGATAGATTTAAGAACAAAAGTGAAGTCTCCCAATTCCCTAGGGACATTTTAGGGAGCCATTCATAAAAATGATCTAGTGTTGTCAAGCCTCAAAAGAAATACTACAATTTCAGTATGCTCTGGAGTAGGGCAAAACCCATGGAAAGTCAACAGAGGCAAGGCTTCCAAGGAATTAAACCTACCACCTTGATGGTTCTGATGACTGAAACTCAAACTATAACTACAAAAGGAGTACATCACCCTCACAAAATATATATATTAAACAAGTCAAAGTCTCTCCAGTAGAGGATGCAAGATCTTAAGTTCCTTGTTCAAATCACAGATTTGATAGGATGGCAACAGGTGGAGAGCACCTGAGTTTTATGTCAGATTGTGATCAGTGGTAATTAAATCTGACCTTTTTTTTTTGGGGGGGGGGATATACTTTTGATGAGACAGACATGATTTCTGCACACTTTGCACTATTATACCATAAAAGTGATGGGGAAAAAGAAAGCGGGTTCTATAAGGGTTTTGCACACAGAATTTGTGCCCTTCACATGTTAAGCACCATAAGTTATTTTCAAAATTAAGTTCTGAATGGAAACAAATGGTTTGTACATTTGTTGTCCACATACGCAAGTAAGGATTTTTACTACGATGCATCTCGCTTGGTAAGTTCTTGTATGATTCAGGCTTAAGCTCCAAAGTTTAAGGCTCTATGTTCCAGCTGAAATCCTTTACGGTATTACAGTAGAAGTACAATGTTACTCCTTACTTCAGTGTATGTTTCTGGTCAATTGAAAATCAGCATCCTAGATCAATAAATTCAGTTTATTATTTTTGAAAACTGTACTTCATATTAGATGCACTTTTTTTTTTAATTCGGAAATTATGTAAGCCTGAAGTTACAAAATCACACTGGAGATAACACCTGGAACAATAAAACAGAAGCTGTGTATTGGTAAATTAAAAACAGATGCCAACTGCACTTGGCAGAGGAGACACAACTTCTGCACCTGTCCAAGCTATTAGGGATGAAACTCAGCTGGGCCAGGGCAGCACTTTGACTGACAGACTGGTGCTTCCCCAGGACAGCTGCTCACAGATGGAGACATTTCTTTTAACCCAGGCACTATTTCCAGTTCAGCAGTCAAAATCTCTCCTTGTGAGGCAACAGAAGCCTATTATTACACTATTTTGGAAGCTAATCTTATCTGAAGTAATAAGCTCATTTTCTTAACTATATGCAAAACAGATTTACAGGGACAGTGCCAAGAAAATGAATCTCAATATCAATCTCTCTCATCTCTTTCACACACACTCCTTTCCTCTATCTTCTGTAATCTTTTTTTCACCAATTTTAAACTGCATCAGTGGCTACAATAAAAATGCATAAATAAAATGAATAAATAAGAGAAGAGCAACTGATATTTCAAAAGCATGCTACAAATTACTACAAACAAGACTTAATTTCCATTATTAATTTCATGCAGAGGATTTGCGTAGTGAAGTTTTTTTCACAGTGTATCCTGCATATAACTGATGAGTTATTATAATAGCACGCATATTCCTAGAAACCAAGCGTATTAATCCATCTTGCACAGCTTTAGAAACTATCCCACTGCTAGGAACGTGCTTTTGCAGCTAAGCAGTAGAGATTCTCCTTTAAGAGGTACAAACTCAACCTCAGCTAGAATATCCTGTAACTAAGGGATACAGTCAACAAACCCACATCACAAAGCCTGATGTGTTATGCTTCCTCATCCACCCACTGGCATTACCCCTTATCTTTGCTTGTAATTAAGCTCCACACAGTAAGTACCACATCTTCAGAAAAACTAAATCATTCAGGCTCCTCCGAGTTCTCTGATCCCATTCTTACCTGGTACAGATTAGTTTCTGACAAAAGACATAAATTGGGGCCAGACTAGACACTTCAGCAGTTTTGGCTATCCCAGCACTCTAGGGGAGCATTTGCACGACACACTACTTAGATTTAGGTTCCAATGGCAAACGAAGATTCCCACGGGAAATAAACTGACTTCAGAGTTTCATACATAGACATGCTCTACTCCCAGCGCTTTCCTACTCTTTCCTATACCATTGTGCCTATACTATAGAAACAAAAAAACCCCCACATTTGCTGAGCTAAAACATCAGCATTCACTCAGGAAATGAGTACAAGGAGACAGACGGTTTGCCTTTACTGATCTCACACACGCGTTTGCAGCTTTAATGCAAGAACACCTACTGGTATCTTTAGTGTATGCATCGACAACAGGAGCTCAGAAACAGTCTATAGCAAAAAACCCCAAATAAATCCAGAGAAGCCAGAACATCCAGCACCTGTCCGCTTTATAAAACACTGAAGAAAAAACAAAATCAAGAAACTCAAACCAATGGAGGTGAAGATTTCTTCACAGTCGATGTCACTACGCAGTTACGATTAAGCTCTTCACCGCGCTATGAGACAGCAGAAATTACAAGCATCGCTGAAGAGGGGAGTAAAAGACTCTGGTACTTAAAATCACTGGCAACAACTTAACCCCTACACAGTTTTAAAGGGCACTCCGCACGTTCGTTTGTTTCACGTAACTAGAGGAGCACGGCTGCGACCCACACCGGCGGTTAATCCCGCACGGGCACGCGTCCTCCAGGGCGACAAGAACCTCGAAGCGCTTCTTCAGGA